CCTCGACTCCCAGTCGTTGTGATGAGGACTCCATACCCCACTGGATGGGAAAATCCTGCAGTGGGACTGCAGGACAGGGGTGCTCTAGCTGACCCCAGTTGAGTCCTCCTACAGGCTCCAAGTGACTGGAATCTTATGAAACTATCAGTAGTTTTATTTTAAAAACTCATTTCTAAGGAAGAATTGAGTTAATAAAGTTCTCTATAAAAAAGTACAAATAGCCCAGTATATTCAGATGTTCTGTTGGAATTAACAGATTAATTTCTTCCATAAGGTTTCAAAAAAGTCTTTGGAACGTGTGGGCCTTAGTGTGGGTCATTTTAAGGCTGTTTGATGACTGAGTTGGACCTACGCCGTTATTAACGGACAGCCGATCACACACATCAGCGGTGCTGGGATCCTGGTCATTCCGCCCTTAACCCTCCTGATGAGCCCCTGACATTATCGGATTAACAGAATTGTGGCCAACACTATTTGTACACGGCTGCCTTCACCCACGTGTGACGCAGGTAACCCTTCTAACAACAGAAATATACAGCATTCCCTAGATTTGCTGCATCAGCCCACACGGGAAATGACAGAAATGTTGACATTCAGTGTATTTCATAAAATGTAACCCAAGTAACTCAAGGAAAAGGTTTTAAAAATATTTCCCAACACTCCCTGTCAAATTAGGGTGTGGCCACTAACAGCCAGAACACCATCTGCTTGTGACTGTCAGGCCTTCCCTGTCCCCGCGACCCTGAGAGTCTTCCTGGGTCGCTGCCCCACGTCGGCTTCACGGTCATGACTCTTTAGTGCTGGCCCTGCTGGGCTTAAAGAAGCAGGAAATGGTACAAGAAATAGGCGACTTCATAAGACCAAGGTGAGAAAATGACTGTAAATGGTTTTTCCTTTCTGAGGCTTTTAAAGACATAAGACCCTCACTTTGTCCTCCCCTTCAGCACTGAGAAAACAAACGCCGGCAGAACACTCAAATTCCTCCTGCTACGTGGAATCGGGGAGGTGGGGGGGGCCTGCAGGGTTAGTTGCTTTCGCTCTGTCCCCGCTCCCCCCTCCCGGGACCCCCAGCTACAGGAAGTCACGGGGAAAAGTGGGTGCGAACCCACCTGCTGGATGCTTCGGCCCCGCCCAGAGAACCGGGAGCCTCTTGGAGGGGGCAGGGAGGACGCTGCTGGCGCGTGGGAGATGCTGGCGGAGGAGGGCCAGCAGCCGCACCGACACCATCCGCGGCTCAGCCTTGGGACCTGCAGCGCCCCTCCCTGCCGCTTCCTCCTGCTGCAAGCGTCCGCCAGCCCTTCCGCACTCAAACCCACTCTTCCCTAAACTCCCTGCCGACCACGGCTAAGGACTGTGGCTCAGAGGGGCTCGATAATCGTTCGCTGAATCGCGTTAATCAGGGTCCTCACGCTCTCCTAGCTGACCGTCTCAGACCAAGTTTCCGGAGATCTCTTAACCCTCTGGTTTTCTCCCAAAATCCTAATAGGAAAAAGCCTAACCATCTCCGAAGACACGACAAGGCAGAGGCTCTGCGTGAACGTGAACAAAATAGCAGTAGACGTGATGGAGAGCCATCGCTCGGTTCCCGGGGTCTCCTATCGACCTTCTGAATCGTTCCAGCCTCGAGCGAACCTCCCATTCACCTCTGCGGGCTGCACACCCCATACTCTTCCTTCAACCCAAGCCCCTCGTGGGCCTGAACGCGATGCCCAGAGGAGGGCCGCCAGCGCATTGGCCGCAGCTTCGGAGCAGCCGCCTCCCAGGGGAAGGTCAGGGGACCAACCCGCACGGCCTTTTGCGTCACAGTGTCTGGCGGGGACCCAGCTCGAGCTGGATTCCCCTGCGGGCCTGGACCTCCACGCGCCCCAGCGACACAGGCTGCGCCCGGGGCCGGCCCTTCTCGGGTCCCTTGGCCCTTCAGGGCCTCCTTGTTATCCCAGCCACTTGGAAACGGCGGCCCCTTCCCTGTGGCTTTACTTTACGTGACCTCCACGAAGGGGCATAAAGCCACAGACCTTCATCAATCCATCCTGCTGACGGTTACCAACATGGCGTGTGCTTTCAGCAGAACTGTCTTGGGTCGCTCAGATTTTTAAAGCATTAGCTTCTATCTACGTTCGGGACATGGCAACGCGCCAACCCGCCCCATCACGGTAGCACTTCGCTGGCACTGGAGCTTTTACTGTTTCCCCCCCAAGTTTGTCCTCAAGCCTGCAGTCCCTCACGCAGAGTACAGGGCCCCCCAGACACGGTACTTCCTTTAAAACCTTGCCACACACTCAGAAAGGATAAAAACCAGCTGGGATGTTTCCTAGAGAAAGGTGAATAATTTGGAAACGTGTCGGCTGTGTGAAGGACGGCCTGACCTGCCTGGGGCTTAGTGCAAGCAGGCAGCGAGGGGCTCGGGAACACGCGGTTCAACCCCGCGGGCTCCTTTCTGGGACTTTCCTCACCCCTGGGGCGTAGCTGGGGATCTGCCGTCCTCATTCCGGGGCAGGGTGACCGGCTTTTCCTATACTCGGGTCCCTTTTCTATCAGACCAAATGAGGTGCACCTGGGGAAGATGCGGCCCCCGGACGTGCACGGACCCATGGGGCCACAGCTCCGCAGCTGGGGCCCCTCTGGAGCCCTTGAGTCTACGGTCCGTAAAAGGTGGCGGGAGAATTTGCTCTTTTCTGGTCTAACCTGTTCCCTACCCCATCTCTTCCTCCAATCAAGGGTTCCCAGGATGGCCGAGGCCTCTCATCCCTAAGACCCCTCAGCGGTCGTGTGGCAGCTAAGAATCAGGCAAACAGAGAGTAAAAATGAGAAGACGCTTCGCTGGGACACGCTTTTGGGGAACAGGGGGACACAGAGCAGCCCCCTGTAAGGACTGACAACCGTGTCCCTCGTAAACGTTCTTTCCGCTGTTTCGGACCAGCTCCCCTGAGGACCCCGCACTGTGGTGCTGTGTCCCACGGAAGTGCTCCTTACAAGACAGGGAAGGCCGCTTCTAGCAGCATCTGGGAGAGCACCTGCAGCCCCCCCAGAGCGTCTGCTGACAGCTCCTGGGCCTGGCTGTGCTCACCACGTCGGCACGTGCGATAGTGGACGGTGGGGCGTGCCGAGGGCGGTGAGGTGGACAGCACGCTCCCAGGGCATCCGCACACCCGTGTCAGGAAGGGCATCCTCCCGTCGCTCCTACCCCGAGTCTCCAACAGCAACAAGGCTGAAGGGAAGAGCTAACCGAGCAAAGTGCAGCCCACGGGCCATGACGACACCACAACCTGCACGAACGTTCTGGGGGCACGGGAGCTGAACAACTCCTGCCACCACAGGAGGAAGCGTGATGAAGGCGACAGGGCTCAGAGGCTAAGAGGAGTCTCGCCTCGACAGTAACCCCCCCGCCCCCAACGAAACTTTTGCTGCAGGTAGAATCAAATATTTGTATGTAAATGTGTATGTAAGCCTAATTGATCATGCAAAGTAGCCATTCACCTTCGAGATTAGATCTACTGCAATGAAAAGTCAGTACGCCCGACACAGTGCCAATGCAGGGTACGCACGGAGTCGGCATGGGGAAAAGGAAAGCACAGCGGCACAGAAGGAAGCTAACAATCAGAAAAGCAGACTAGAAACCGGAGCCTTCACAAACATAGCACAGTTGTGTCTTATAAAATTATTATAATACTCTTTGTACTTGATACGATTATATCAATAACATAGATTCACTTGTTATTAAGGTTTATTCTAAACATGCAAAATTCATTGCATGATGCCTTTGCAAAACATATTAAAATCCTTCCAGCAATAAAACCTCTTTGAGCTGATACGCATCCAGGTTTCCTATGCTACGGCTTCAGGTGTGTCATTCAACATGAACCGGAAACGGGGGACCAAAACCGTACTGTTCATCCCAAGAGGATGTCGAGGGCTGGAGACGGGAGGGAGATCAATTCTAGGGGCTGAAGTTACAGTCAACACTTGCATTAACTTACGGTACATCGTACTCTCATAAACACCACAGCCTATTAAATAAATAAGTACAAAAGGGGTGGGAGGTGTACGCTTCGGCTTCTTAGGAAATAGGCAGCGAAATATCGGTGTGAGGGGGGTTGGCTAACAACACTTGTGAGTAGTGGCATGATCGCTGATGGCACCCTGGATCCAGAATAATCTCCCAGAGATTAAAATGAACATCACACGCACACTGATCTACCCTTGATCTGAAATGATTTCACATGCTCATTTAGCAGAGTCCTTAGAAGATTTGGCCTCTTAAAAAGAAATGCAAGTATCAAGACAGTTATCAGCCAAGTAGGGTACAAGATGACAGATGCCCCCAACACTCATCTGAGGTTTTCTTCCTCTCTTTTTCTAAACTGGTAACTGCTGGACCGTAACTGTGAGTGCGTTACGACTGTCAACCTCTGGGAACAGTGAGCTTGCAGATGGGACCAGATTCCTCCCGGCCTCTTGGGCTCTAGGGACCGTTTCCATCGAGGCAGAGAACACAAGCAGCGGGTCCTCTGAAGCCCCAATCCCACCTCCCCCGGGTCCCACCTTGCTCACCCTCTGGGCTCCCCGTTCTTTTACTCCAAAGATGTCTTGGGTGGAGATGTTTCCGGCTCCCTGGACTGGGGCGGGTTCCTTTGAACATGTCTGGTTGGGGGATCCGGATGGTGAAAATCAACAGAGGGTTTGGAAAACATGTCAAATTGTACCCAAACAAAGGGGGGGCAGAGTCTGTTTGCCTTCCAGGAAGGGTTAACCTACCGCCAGATGTGACCTCTACACAATTAAACCGGATGCTGTACATGACATCATCTGCCGCTAAGATGATGCTCTTGGTTGCGAGAGACCCTGAACAGCTGATCACGTTTGGACTAATAACCCTACAGTTTTCAGGCCTCCACCTGGAAACAAGGCGGTGGCCTTCAAACTTTAGGGCTGAGGATCATTTCCCACGGCTGGGGGCAGGGGGCAGGGGCTGGGGAGGCGCCTGTGCTCGGTGCTGAGTTTCATACTGTGCTCTGCAGGATGGGGTGCACGAACTGGGGGTTGACATATGAGAACCCTTCAAAGTCAGACTGGTCGATGTTAGCGATGACCAGCTGATCGGGTGGCGTCAAGACAGGCTGCCCTCGCGTGAAGAACTTGTCGAAGTTTTCTGCCCCTTTGCCACACTGTGGAGAGAAAAGAAAAGGAAGGAGAGGTCAGTAGGTTATCACAGACCCCAGGCGGCGGC